ACAAAAATATTCTGCAAATCTTACTTAGGACTGAAGCTAAAATCTCAGAGTTTGAGTGAAAAAAAATTAAAATGTCAGACTCAGATTTCCTGCTTTGTTTGGAAGAACTATTCTGTCATTCCCTTTTATCCCACGCCAAATGTTCTTATAAATCAGTGAATGAGATGACAAATAGGAAGGCTAGGAAACACCAGAAACTTCCCCAAGTCTTCGTCTTTAAATGGAAACGGATGAAATATGTCAATTACACAACTATCAAAGTATAAAGTATAGGTCTCCTTCAAGAAGTTACACATTTAACACGCTCTAAGCAACAGAAATATGAGCAATAAACTTAGTTTTTGCATTTTTTGCGGCCGTCTCTCATGATTCTGTGTTCTTTTTGTGGTGAACACACCGCGGACTGACTTCCATCCTGCTGCAGGTTTCACGCAGGATGAAAGCAGACGTTTCAGCTCGGGCTAAAAGAGAACATATCAGAGTAGTTCCTGCGGAGACGGACTGAGGTTTGGCTGAAGCGGTTTCATAATGAAGTCACAGAAAAGACTCTGAACTTGTGACCTGATGCTGCTTCCTGGGTTTTGGCCTACAGGTCTTTCATTAGAACATTTTTTCTGGTTAAAGCTGCATTTTCTCTCCTCGCTCCTCTGACCTCAGCTGAGCTCCGACTTCAGCCAAAACCAAAATGTATTTATTGAAGACAGACTTGTTTTCCACATCCTTTTTACTTTGATTTTCCTTTACAGTTGAGTATATCTTAACCACAAAAATAAGTCCAAACAGGACAGATAGCTGCAAGCTATTAGCTAAGTTAGCTTGTATGTGCCACCAGAACAGTGTATGAAGAATTTAACTTGAGTATTTTCACCTCAGGATGCATCAGATGAGATGGGATGAGGGAATCAAGAGACACAAAGATCATCTGAAGAACATTTCAGAGCAACCTATGCATCTGCTTTTTAACCATTTAAGTAAAAGCTGCAAACATGAGTCATGTGGGCGCTGGAGGAGGAGTCAAAAGATGACTAGATATCTTAGAAGTCATCATCTGGGAAAAGGTATGTCTGAACATTTGATGAGAATACATCCAAATGATTTATGTTTGGACTGAAGAGATGGACCAGACTAGAATATATACTGCTTTCACATCTAAATACATTCAGTCTATGGTGACATATTTAACATTATTCAGCTGGTTACATGATGTTAAACATGTAACAAGTGACAGAAATGATTTTCTGTCGTCACATTGACACTCAGAGTTTGACACAGGAAGTTTGTAATATTTACTTTCAACAGAGCGAGACAGCGAGATAAACACAGGAGTCAGACTGTACACTGTACAGTTTACATGTGGAGGCCGTGTGTGTGCAGAACGTGCAGAGCAGCATTTATTAGCTTAACTTATCATAAACACACACAGGTTGTGATTTTGAATACCAGCAGCGTTGTGCACCCTCGTTTAACCCGCATGCTTCAGTAACAAATAGTTGCACTTTAACAAAAAAACTGACATAAAGTCATTACATTTTTATATAAATTTCAACTTCCAGTTAATCAAACCTTAGTCCTGTTCTTTAGTCCTTGTGTGTACACTTTTATGCCACTGATATTTGTTATGGAAAAAAAACACAAAAACAGTTTGTTGTGCAAATCACGAGATAGTTCCCAAGATATGAAAGCAAGGATTTTCTCAAGACAGTTTCAAGCCTCTATAAGCCATTAAAACCTCTTACATAACATCTCTTCTCCCAGCACTGGAGAGCAGCCCTGCAGCGTTCTGCCCCCCTGAAGACTTCTAGAGAACTGACCAATCAGAAGAAAGTGGGCGTGTGTGGGGAGGGGGGCCTTAAGGAGACAGCAGCTGAAACTAACTGTTTAATGCTGAGGCTGAAATGAGGGTTTTTACTGACACTAGTATATGAGATAAATAAGGAGTTTTCTTTTAGCATCAAATCATGCAAAGCTGCTCTGTAGGTTTCACAGTCTGACAAAATGAAAGTTGAAACTGAGTCAAATATGGGATCTTTAATGAAACATGGTTCTAATAGTTCTGACGCTATGAAATACTAAAGATCTTTTTTCATTTTTTGACAAAAAGCTGCAGCGAGAAAACTTTAGAGCTTTGTCTCGACTGCACAAATATGTTGCCATTGTTTCGGTTTTAAAGAGTTGCTATCTAGTTTGTACTATTCAAACAATATGCAGGCAGTGGATCGGTGGTACAGTCGTTGGTAGAGTTGTTCATCTCTCAACCAGAAGGTCAGGGGTTCGATCCTCAGCTCCTGCAGCATCATGTCCAATGTGCGTTTGGGTAAGACTCTTAACCTCAAGTTGCTCCCGCTGCTTCGTCAGTGTGGTATGAATGTGTCTGTTAGTTTTTAGAGGTAGTTGCTGAAAGAGTTAAACAGGCAGAGGAGGAACGCTGGACATGAGTTGTGGTACATGTCTGCACTTGGTGTTCCCCTTGGTGAGACAGCCCGACTGAAATGTTCCTGTTTTCTTCAGCAGAAACCGTCAGCGTGCTGTAACTCAGACCAACCCCTTCATACCGCTCTATCACCGACTGCTGCTGCTGCTGCTGCTGCTGCTGCAGGAGCCAAGTTTTCCTTCTTAAGTAAACTTAATCAGAAAGAAAGTTTCCACTGAAATGTTTCCATGCTCTCCGAGTGCAACGATGGTTTCAGTTTCAGACCAGAACCAGCTGTGCCCCGACAGAAAACAAGAGAAGAAGAAGAAGCTGCCACTGTAAACTGTGTTTGTTTAGAGAATTTTTTTTTAAAGTTGTGTTTGTTACAATTGTGTTGTGTTCAGATTTTTTAACTCTGTTTTGTTTAAGATTTTACTGTTAATGTTGTCTGTGTTGATGTCGTCCTCTGTGTCATCCTGCTGGACAGTAAAGAAACTGAATCTGAATGTATTTGTTCAGGTTTTCCTCTGGGGTTTCTGCTTCAACTCTGGGGTTCTGTCACTCAATTTTAGTTCTGCTCATAATCATCTTCTGCAAACCTTGACAACAGTGATGGTTATTCTGTGGGACAGCGTGACTCCACAGCTCAGAAGTACACCTGAACACACCTGACCATGCTCAGCTGGTTCAGAGTTTCAGCAGACTAAAGGGGGACTTAACACCACTTATATCGTTGTTGACCTCATCGTTAGTGGTTTAGTTTCTGATCTTACTGCAGTAATGTACAGAGGTTCTCCTGGAAACTGTGACATCACAGCTCGATGTGATCTGAGGTGCAACACAACAGCCTTTGTGATACTAGATGTGAGGTTGTCAGAACTTTCAATACCATGTGTTTTTAAACAATAGAATCTCCCAAAAATTTGAAAAGAAACCACAACTATTTCACAAGACAGGTGTGCAGGAGAAGAATTCATCCATTCAACACTGACAAACAAACTTCTGCATGCTGTCTAAATTGTAAAAATATGATGGCAATGTTTTGGTACTGAAACGTTTTCAACCTATTTGTTCAGTTTAGACTGTGTGCAGGAGCTTGTCTGCAACTTTTGGTCACCAAAAACAAGAAAGTAGAAAATGTTGGGCGACTCGTACTTCTTCTTTTGTTGCCGTGGTATCAAACAGGTTTCAATACTGTTTGATTTTAACTGGCATCAAGTTTAAAAAAAAAAAAAAGTAATGTACCCTGGCAGCCCCATACTCTAATCACTTCTGCTAAACACCCAAAAGCTGAAACAATGCAAAGAAGAAAATGTAGAATTATTTGTCAAGGACACACAATGATGGCTCACCTTTAGGATGATTTAAAAAAAACTTTTCTAAACTCTAAATTATTAATTTTTTGTCCCATAAGGATGAAAAATATTTATTTCGACCACTTTCAGTCCTACTTGTGTGTTTTTATTCTGCACAGTGTTTCTTTGTTCATGCATTTTATGCCTGAGATAAAAGATAAAACCTGTAAAAATACAAGTAGTCTTTAAATCAAATAAAATAAACAACACCTCGACTTTAAATATAGCCTACATAAAAGTAAGTATGTAAATAAACCCATTGATAGACTTTGGAGCTCTATCTTTTGACTGAACTTTACGGCGTTTGAACGCATCATCAGTCGGTTAATTAGTCAATCAGAGGATTAATTTACAAGCTCGTGAGTCAATTAGTCCCATCAGAGGTTTAATTTGCGGAATAATGAGCTGACAGCCCGGCAGGAAACTCACCCAGCAGCCCTTCAAACTGCTCGATGGCCAGCACCGCGTTGTCCTGCGTGCTGTGGTGGAGGTGGTTCGGCATCTTGGTCATGTTCCACGGCATGGACCGGCACAGCGGGATCCGGACCGACTCACAGGACGCCGCCCGGACCGGAGCCGGGCACAGAGCGCAGGACACGACCAGCAAAGACACGCAGAGCCCCGGGGAGAACATGACGCAGGAGTTAGATCCAAACAGTGACGTGTTTCTCCGGCGGAGTGGTACCTCTCTGCTCCTGCTGCTGCTGTCCGGTCTTGCAGGCAGCTCGAGGAGGAGCTGCTTTCTTATTCTCACTTTCACCTCCTCCTCTCCCGCCTCCTCCTTCTACACAGCAGCACCCCCTTCTCCTCTCCCTCTCCTCTCCTCGTTTTATCCTCCATGCATACAGATAGATTCCTTTTAGATGAAAAATAAATAACAGTAAAGCCTTTGAAAGCTCACTCATTACAACTCGTGAAATCAGTGGATTTTACATTTAACATCCTGTAAAAAAAAAAAAAAAAAAAGGAAATAAAAGAATGGGAAAAGTCAAGTTTTCCAAATAAAGTGAAAATTATTTTAAATAAAAAGTTTTGCAGTGAAAGTATTAATGCAGGAAAATGTCCTCTGTGTCTATATTTAATTTATAAATGAACAAAACCAGATATAGTTTAGTCCAGTGTGGCTCAGTTGGTAGAGTCGGTCGTCTCTCAGGGGTTCAATCCCCAGCTCCTGCAGCCACATGTCAGATGATTTAACCCCAAATTGCTCCTGCTGCTTTGTTGCGGGAGTGTGAATGTGTGTGAATGGGATTAGTTACTTCTCATGGTCACTTTAACAACTCTGCCATCAGTGTGTGAACGGATGTGAAAGTTGAGATCTGCGGTGTAAAAACGCTTTGAGTTGTCAGAAGACTCGAAAAGTGTTATACAAGCTAGAGTTAGTTACTCAAAGGGAGGGGAAAGAAGAAGAAACTTTTCACCGCTGCAGTCCTGATGATCCTTCTGAATAAGGCTGTAGGTTACTTTTTTGATCCCACGTTTAAAATCTCGCCTTATGTTTCAATGATTGATAGAATTGAAAAGTCACAAGCTTTAAAAATTATTGCACAAATACATGGTCAACCACGTAGCCAGTGTATTTGTGCATTTTTTGACAACATGCAGGAGATTGTATATGCATTCATTGGAAACCAAAACAAAGATTTACCCAAAATGTGGAGCCGATAGGACTTCAGTTATCTGTATTATTTCATGTTAACGAGCATCATTTATTTTTTGTTTATTTATCCTTTATTTTAGCAGGGAGGACCCACTGAGACCGAGGCCTCTTTTCCAGGTGAGCCCTGCAGCAATACAAAAATAAAAACAGAACAAATATAAACACTTAAAAATAATTGCACCATGTCCATTTCAACGATTTCAGATTTTAAAACAGTTGCAGATTTCCTTCCCTTGTAGTTCAGACACTTGATCGTTTAAAAAAAAGCCGTATGAAACAAGAGAGGGCGGCTCAGCTGTTCCACATCAGCAGCTGAGCAACACTAAAAGCAGTCTTTCCTCATTAATTTTTTCAAAGTGATCCATTTTGAGATCTGGTCAGGAGGGTAGTCAGGTAAGGAAGGGGTTGACTGATGAGTGCACCGAAAATAAACAAAATACTGTGCTGCTGTCTAATTCGAAACTCTGGTATTGTAGCAAGCCTTCTGATGAAGGTCAGGAGAGAATCAGCAGCAGGTACCTGAACTCACCTGGAAGGATCAGCAGTGTGTTAGCATGATAGCATGCTAGCATTTAGCGAACTAAACTTAAACAATATCACAGTCAAGGTTGTGTTGTTGTTCTGAATATCCACCAAGCTGCGATCAGCCATATACAAAAAGATCACCCTGATGGGAGCTGTAGAGTCAGGACATGATATGACATGACACAAGGGTACACCACCGTACACTGACACTATACCACACCGCACAATACGATCAAGGGGTGACATCACGAAGGCTATGTCCACTTTAGTATATGAACTTTGACCCCAGCAGGCCTGTTATATCAACAGGTCCTGCAACTGGTCCATTAAAACTGGGAATGACGCTGCAAAGTGTGTGTGTGTGTGTGTGTGTGTGTGTGTGTGTGTGTGTGTGTGTGTGTGTGTGTGTGTGTGTGTGTGTGTGTGTGTGTGTGTGTGTGTGTGTGTGTGTGTGTGTGTGTGTGTGTGTGTGTGTGTGTGTGTGTGTGTGTGTGTGTGTGTGACAGCACTAATGGTTGTCAGATGTTGGAGGAGCTTCCCATGTTAGCTACGGCCAATACACACACACACATAGAGACACACACACACACACACACACACACACACACACACAGGTTTCTGACTCATGGTTCAGCTCACAGAGATCTGAGTCAGCACTTTCCCTTCGATCCGTCACTTCTTTCTTCCTCTTGTTATTCCTTCCTTTTATTATTATTATCCTGTTTGCCTTTCTGTCTTTCTCACCATCTATCTTTCTTTCTCATGTTTTCATTTCCTTCCTTCCTTCCTTCTCTTTTTCCCCGTTCCCTTTTTTGTTCTTTCACCTATTCTTTTTCCCCTTTCTTCTTTTCTCCTCTTGTTTCCACTTCTTTCTTGCTGCCTTCTTTTTTACCTTTCCTCCTTCCCGTCCTTGCTCTTTTCCCCTCTTTCCGCTCTTTTTTAGTTTCCTCTTAAATTTCCTTTTCTCTTCCTTCTCTCCTTCCTTCCTTCCTCCTCTTGTTCCCCCTTCCTTCTTTCCTTCTTTAATTTTCTTCTCTAATACTCTGCTGGGTGTTGCTGTTTGTTGGTGTTAAACACACTTGCACATACACATCCATCCCTCCTCTACTTTTCTCCAGGTTTCCTCACTTTCACACTCCTGTTCTCTCTTTGTCTCATTACCTTTCCTCTCACCTTCTTCCCTCTTATTGTATCCTCACTTCCCCTCATTACTCCTTTACTTCCTCAACTTTCCTCTCCTTGTTTCATTGCCTTTCTTCTTTCTTTGTGTCCTTTTCTTTCCTCTCCTCTTGTATGGTCCTCTCCTCCTCTTTTCATCCACTGTCTTTGCTGATCCTTGACCTTTCTTGTTTCCTCTCCTCCTTTTTACTTGTTTCCTTTTCTTTCCTCCCATTTCTTTGTTTCCCCCACTTACTTCTCCTCTCCTTCTTTGTTTCCTCTCCTCATCTTTTTCTCAACGCAAAACAAACTCCTTAAGTTGAACGTTCTCTGTGTGTGTGTGTGTGTGTGTGTGTGTGTGTGTGTGTGTGTGTGTGTGTGTGTGTGTGTGTGTGTGTGTGTGTGTGTGTGTGTGTGTGTGTGTGTGTGTGTGTGTGTGTGTGTGTGTGTGTGTGTGTGTGTGTGCGCGTGTAGACTTAAAGCTCTGATTTCACCCAGAAACTCTCTCTCTCTCCCTGGAAATATTCTTGGAAACTACCAGAATCTGGTCCAACATAAATAAGAGCGCAGCTGTCCACGCACGCAATCATGCACGCACGCACGCACACACACACACACACACACACACACACACACACACACACACAGTATTGCAGAGGATTGAAAATGATCTTCAACAATTATTGATTTTGCTTCAGAGGCTCAAGGTAAAGTTAAACTGCAGAGTTTGTCCTGAGGGTGGAGCTTAAAGAGCATTTCCCTGTAACACTGATGAACTCACTATCCTCAGCGTATTATAGCCACATGCAGATAGACGGAAATCTTTTAGGGTATAATATGTGGCTGTATATGTTCTGAGCTTAGATGTCTAATGTTTAAAATTCCCAGGATCCCTCACTTCTTCAGCACATGATCAATGATCAATCTGTGTGTCTGTTGTTGTTTTTGAAGAGACAATTGGAGCAGAAATTAGATACTTCTAAATTTGGACAATGATGCACTTTTCACTCTCTTTGAATGAGTGACAGGATGTAGGTATGTAGGTAGCTCAGTTTGGTAGGTAGGTATACGGTTGTGGGTATATTAAGGTAGGTAGTCGTTGGTGGCTAGCTCGGTACGTACAGTATAGTCAGGTAGGTAACTGTAGGTATAGCTAGGTAGCTCAATTGGGAGGTAGACACTTGTAGGTAGGTGGGTAGCTCGCTTGGTAGTTAGGTCGTTGAAGGTATCAGGTTAGCCAATAGGTAGGTCGTTGATAATAAGGTAGGGAGTGTAAGGTATGTAGGTAGTTCTAGTTCGGTAACTCGCTTGGTAGGAGGTAGGCATGTAGGTAGCTCAGTTGGTAGGTAGTCAGGTACCTGTCTTGGTAGGTAAGTAGGTTGGTAAGTAGCTCGTTTGGTAGGTAGGTAGGTAATAGTTATAGATAAGTTGGTAGATAGGCAGGCTGGTCGGTTGGTCAGTAGGTAGGTAAGTACATTTATTGGAAATTGAGGACAGACTCATTCATTCAGACACTGCAGTAACAAAAAAACCTACTAGCAAATGTCAACCTCTCAACTGAGCTACCTACCGAGCAAACCAGCTACGAATAGCTACCTTAATATCCTACCTAACTAACTATACCTATCTATTGACACATTTTTTTTTTATTATCTAAAGCCTAATGAGGCCTGTAAAACCTGAGGGTTCGTCGTCTGTGGAGCAGGAATCTGCAATGAGACAAAGCCAGGAAGGAGCTGAGACATTTAATGAAATTCAAATATATATGCTCCTGTAAATAAGGGCACATACTTAATCCTGTATGTTTAGTTATTTCATACATCGTTAATTGTGATAATCAGACAATATGAGAGGTTTTCATTGTGGCCAGTTTTTATTAAATGAACTCTTTTTGGTTGATCATACATTTAGTCTTTCTTTTGTCCTTAGAAGAAAACCTGTGGTCATAAAACTTTGAACATGATTGTGAAAAAGTGTTTTATTTTATTTAACTCATTCAGGTTTTTATTTCATTAGGCTGTAGTAGCTCGTGATGGCAAGGATGTGGCTCCCCCTTGTGGACAACATTTGAAACATCATCTTCTACCTTTACTATATTAATATTTTTACATTATCTACACTGGGATTCTTGTCATTATTTATGAAGTTATTACGTAGAAAAAAAGGATTGAATGTACTCTTTTTCCTTAAGTAAAATTTGAATCCAATAAAGGGACCATACACTGCAAGATGCAATGTTTATGACATCATGTAGTACTTTATTTATTTGATTAGAGTGATTTTTGTGCAGGTCTTTATTCTAAGTGCATGGATTTGTCACCATTGTAGAGCACTACAGTGACAGGCTGACAGACGGCAGGTTTCATGTTGCACAGCAGCACTTCAGCCTCCCCTCTTGCAGACTCAGTCCTCTCCACAGTTTAACTCAGAGAGGCCTGAAGCTGGTTAAACTGGGTCAACTCTGGATCTGGTCTAATGTGGACCTGGTTTGTCCAGCGTAAAAAAAAAAAACCTGACCCAGAGTTTTCAAGTGTTTTCCTCCTCGACCAGCAGATGATGAAAGACGACCTTTGCTCCTTTTCTGCAAACTGAAGCGAATCATCTGCTCTGTGTCTGGAGTTTAAACTGCCATCAGCTGAACCAGAACCAGTCTGAGCAGAGGCCGGACCAAAGCTGAGCATCTGAAGAAACAGGTTTTTATCAAACAAAGAAAATGATACCAACTCTTAATAGACCTATTTATGTGGTTAGTTCATTGTTTAATCCATGAGATATGAGCCTAGAGTGTCTTAATGTATCTGATTGGTAACTATAAGATACAATATTATGAACGGCATTTAACTCATCCTGCAGAATAACAGCTGCAGAGCACATTCATGCGATTATGGGGAATTGTTTTGACCTTTTTCTCCCATTTGCATGCTTTCTAAATCTAGCTGTTTTCCCCAAAAACTGCATTCCCCAGCCTTAACTTGCATCTTCCAGTCGTGCATGCTTTAAATGTGGCCAAGGAAACATTCACATATAAACTGCTAAAAGGATGTGGCCGGATACAGCTTAGACAACCTTAACATGTTTGAATGGCTGTATCTAAATGAGTCCTTAAGGGTGCATTAAAAAACCCCAACATAGAATCCTTCAGGTGCTTTCAGATAACCTAAGATGCATGTTTACAGTGTTTGACAGAACTCTTTTTTTATGCCACTGTCAAGAAGGATTTATTTATATATACAATTGCAGAGATTGCAGTGATATACAGCTGTAGGAGTTAGCATGTGCAGAAAGTCTTACAGAGATCATCAGCAGGATCTCGGTCTGAGTTCTCGGCTCGATGGAGAGCCAGAAAAAGACAAAGATGGATGTCACATGAGAACTTTAAGTGGATCTGATTAAAAGCTTTTCAGCATTCAAGCATCCACTACGACTCGAAATTGATCCAAGGAAGGTGAAAAGAGAGGCTATATTTAGCAATCTTCTCCAACTTTAAAAAGCCCAAAGAAACACTTCACATGCTGCTCAAAGGAAACACTTAGATTTTGTTTCTGAGGACGGATTTACCAAACAATAACCAACAAGAAGAAGAGGAGGAGAATTAATCAAGCCAAAGCCAACATATTCTATCACGCCACTGCAGTACAGATCTGAAGCTCAGCTGTAAACACGACGCCTAATGCAGAACATGTTATTCCTAAACAAACATATTAAAAATAATAGAGTTAAATAATGAGCTATGATGGAGTCTTATTATATTTTTTAAGAGGGTCTTGGGGATTATTTTCCACTGGCCAAGATTTACATTTTGTCCTTAGGACAATTGGACATTGCAGGAAAGTAAAGAGTAGTAGTGTTTTGAATAACAAAGTGTAAGCGGAAATGCATGCATACATTTTATTTTGTTTTCCAATGTTAACGAGTAAATGTTGGTTTTCCTTCGAAGTCAACTCTTATCTTGTAACCTAAGAGGAGAACAACGTCGATGATAACCAGTAGATTTATGTTGTTTCCTTGAGATCTCGACGTATTTATTTTGTTAACTTGGGATATCAATGCTGGTTTTCCTGTGATAGATCTCAGGAAAATTGCTGAACTTTTAGAATCAATGGAAAACAGGGTTGTTATCCTGAGGTAAAAAGATAAGTTAGTTGATATCCTAAGAAAATGAAATTCACTGGTTCTCATTGGAAAACAGAGATAAAAAAACAATGTCCCCTTGTGGCTTCTGTACAGAAGATATATCAAGCTTTAAAGATCAAATTTTTTAACTAAAAGCAGCTTTAATCTGTCCAACTTCATCTGCATAGCAATCAGTAAAAATACATATTAAACATCGTTTTAGGGGACTTTGGAGAACAATGTAAACACAATAGGACCCAGGATTGAACCCTGGGGAACACCACAGAAAAATACAACCTCTTATTTACAACATATTCATATATTTAAAATTCATCTGATTACCTTTTAATCCTCCTGAGGTTCCAGTCTGGTCCAGTCATGCAGTCTCTGACAGAGGAGATCCAGAGTTTCCCTCGCACGCGGCTCAGGAAGCAATGCACCCGTGTGACATCACTGAGCGGCCGCCGCATCATCGAGACCTGGAAGGGCTCCACGATCACCGTGGTTGAAGACCCCGTGCCCCCTGAGACGATGCTGGGATACATCCCCGACACTTCCTGGGACGTGCAGGTTGGCATCGTCAAGCCCTTCCTGCTGCTGGGTGAGTGAACGTAACAGATAATTACTGACTAAGACCTGTGGGAGCCAACTGAAAGTCAAACTTCAGTATTTCAACTCAATGTCTGTAAAAAGGTGAAGAAACCTACCAAAAAGAAAATGGATTGAGAGGGACTTTGTCACTTACTGCACGTTTTATTTTGTGTCACATAACATTTTATTTTTTAAAATACATCGTATGCCTTAAAGGCAGGGTTTATAATTTTCGAAAAACTAGCATGATTTTGAAAGTAGCATTCCCTCAGTGCTCCGTCTGTACCCCCTCCCCTCTGTGCTCCCTCTAAAGCCACGCCCCTCACCTACATGCACGAGTGCCATTTCTCCAGAAGCTGACCTCAGCTCATCTCTTGCATTGTGTAGAAACTACGTCGTAGTGTGACGTGCTTTGAGTGTGGGCTAGTGCACGCAAGAGGTAGAGAGCGAGCAGGGAGACAGGGAGGCTTGTGATTGGTTCATCAGATTGGTACCTCGTGGCAGACATCGGTTGAAGTCTTTACAGGCTTACAACTGCTACAAATGACAGATTTTCTTTGTTCCTTTTTCAGAGAACATGAGTTATTAATTTCTGTCAGGACCTAAAGACAATTTCAACCATAAAAAGTGGATCCCTGTCTTTACATTTTTAAATCAAAGGTAATACTTCAAGACTTTTAAGGATCTTTATGTTTGAAAACATGTACATCTGGACTACATGTAGCCAAAAGTTAATGTTTTCTTCACATTCAAATTTGTTTAAATAACTCGACCACCTCTGCATTGCACGCTGATCAAATCAAAAGTGGTAAACTCTGGTTAACAAATAAGGTTGGGCCTCAGTGAGGACTTCTTAAACATGAATTTCTCCTCATGAAGAAAGAAGACACTCCAAACGATTGGATTATTCCACCCCCTCCCCTCGGGAAGCGCTCCTGCCCTGGAAGTCACCTTCAGTCCGCCGACACGTTCAGCTCAGCTTCAGAGAAACCTGAGTCCAGACGTTGGTGGTGGTGGTGGTGGAGAGGGGGAGGGGAGTACAGGGGGAGATGTGGCCTATCAGGGCTCACCTGTTAGCAGGTGGAACATAAATGACCCTGTGACCTGCAGCAGACACTCTGCAGGAGGGACTCAGGTTAACTGTTTGGTTTAGCACTCTGGACAGCGACTTGATTAAAAAGAAAGTCTAAAGTTTAGACTCTAAACCATGACGACCCAAACAACAACATCAGAAAGCTTTGTTTGGCACTATATTATACAAAACAAAAACAAATTAACAAAATAGAAAACTCAATTCATTGTTCTAATTTTGCTCATAAAAGAATTCAATATTAAATTGTGTCTCTGTGTGTGTAAAGATATTCAGAGTTAAAATTGTTATTGTGTTTGTGTGTATCAACAAAACAACCAACAGAGCAGTTGAATGTTTTTTTTAGCTTTATTTCCTGCAAAATTCTCTAAATCTGCTCAACAAACAAAAAGTTTAATTGTGTTTTGACTTTTATCGGTGTGTGTTTGTGTGTGCAGGTTCCCAAGATGCTGCCCATGACTTTAGCACTCTGAGAAAACACAAGGTGAGTCTCTTCAAACACCCATCAGCCATCTTTAAATTAATCAATGTGTAAATTTAGAAAACCACACAGGTGAAGAGTTTTATATAAAGAGCTTATGATGCTGATTTTCATTTGTTTGATTGTGTGTATTTATCACTCACACCTTTTGATTGTTCTCTGTGACATATCAAAGATGAAGTCTCCTCCTCCTCTGCAGGTGTCTCACATCTTGAACGTGGCCTTCGGGGTGGAGAATGTGTTTCCTGATCTCTTCATCTATCGGACCGTCAGCATCATGGATCATCCAGACGCTGATATTCTGCTCCACATGAAGACTGCTGTGACTTCATCCAGCAGGCTCGCAATGAAGTAACACGTTACTACCATTTAATGCAGATTATACTTTATTTATTTTGCATTTATCATTGCAGAAATGAATAGCGTGGTCTATAAAATAAACTGAGGGAACATAGGGAACCTAGGGCTGAGGGAACATAGGGTTGAGGGGACATACGGCTGAGGGAACATAAGGCTGATGGAACAAAGGGCTGAGGGAACATAGCGTTGAGGGAACATAGGGTTAAGGGAACATAAGTCTGAGGGAACATAGGGCTGAGGAAACATAGGGAACATAGGATTGAGGGAACATAGGGCAGTGGGAACCTAGGGCTGAGGGAACATAGGGTTGAGGAAACGTAGGATTGAGGGAAGGCTGAGGGAACAGAGGGCTGAGGGAACGCAGGGTTGAGGTAACATAAGTCTGAGGGAACATAGGGCTGAGGAAACATAGGGAACATAGAGTTGAGGGAACATAGGGTTGAGGGAACATACGGCTGAGGGAACCTATTGAGGGGACATAGGGTTGATGGATATAGGGCTGAGGAAACGTAGGGCTGAGGAAACATAGGGCTGAGGGTACATAGGGCTGAGGGAACATAGGGTTGAGGGAACATAGGGATGAGGAAACATAGAGCTGAGGTGTTATTAGTATCGAACATTCATACAACCTTAGTGAGAGCCGCTCCACCTCAGTTAAACCAAACAACCCAATCAAGTCCAACAACAAGAAACAATCCCATGACAGCAAGGGATTATGGGAAGAAAAACACAGGTTAGGGTCTTAAAATGAGGCTGACCCATGTTGAAGTACCCCACCTCCCCCCACCACAACCACCACCTCCCCCTCCTCTGTTTTGAATAATAGATGTTTAGTTTTGTTCATGTTTTATTAAAGTGCACACAGATCAGATCTCAGTGTCATACAAGCTTTTAAAGGAGAAGCCTGCGGTTCACCTTAACATGACACCACACACACACACACACACACACACACACACACACACACACACACTCACTCATTAGGCAGTCATTAGGGGTGTATGATTACGGGAAGTGTGTGTGTTCATTATGATATGTTTCTGAGGACTGTAAGGGGTAATTCCAGCCCTGATAATCAAACTGATGCTTTTTTTAAAAAAAGCAGGGTCACATTACCCAGCAGGCCATCTGGCTGGAAAGCAGTTCAGGTATGAACGCTGTCATGACAACGACAGCATCATGTGACTGAGCTTAGGGCTAAGGAACAGATACCGAAAGTGGGGGGCCATGCTAGGTTTTGTAAGTTTTCATCAACTTAACAAAACTTAAAAATCAGGTATGAAAAAAAGAGACATCCTTAAATGTACATAATCATTTAAAAGTGACTTTAAGAAATACAGGGGTGATTGTTTCCCAAGATTTGGGTCCCACATTGCCTATAATTTTTTTTTTACATCAATATCCTTTACGTCCAGATGCCAGGATTTATTTGACATCAATGACATCATTATTTATTGATTCCAGTAGAAGCGGCTGAATGTTTGGCAGCACTTTGAGTCCAAGAATAATTTCCCCAAGGGGACAATAAAGTGTGTCGTATTGTAATGTTGAGTAGGTCCTCAATAAAGCTGAACAGCAAACAGGTGCTCTTTGGGGAGGGGGAAAAAATAGGCTTGATGTGTGTACAGAGGCGCTGCTTGTCAACAGGCAAGACAGGCAACAGCTTGGGGCCCCAGACCAGTTAGGGGGCCCCAGAGGGAAGGAGAGAGAAGAGAAGTTTTTTCTTGCCATTGTAACTTCTGCTACTTTCTGCTGCTAGAGATTTTCTAAGGGACCCTGTCAGTTATGGGCCCTTAGAATCATCCTAACTTTTCTCCCCCTTAAAGCGCCCCTGCCTGTTGCTTAATGTTGTTGCAGCTTTGCCAGTCAAGGTTATAACTTCATGGTTGTCATGTGCGATGGCATCCTTGAACTGCTCCTACAGGGGGGAAATATTCTGAGGTCTGTATCTAATTATTTTAGTATTTGAGACAGCGCCTTACTGAATTTGATCCGCTTAAACAAACAGTCTGTTTGACGGAGCACTGCGACGTCTTTAAGCTCTCGTCTTCCTCCTCCTCCTCTTCTTTGAATGAACAGATTGACATTAATGAGCTCAGCTCTGCGTTCAGCCTGTTAGATACGCTGCTGTTGTGTAAACCCTCCATGTGAAGGAAAATAGAGGCTGTAATGGAGAAGCTAATGAGGCTCTCAAGGCACTAATGAACAACACGTCTATTACCTAAAGAGCAAATTTGTGGTGTGGCTCATTGCCCTGCATGTCAGGGCGTGAACTGCTCTGTCTGCTGGTAGGTAGAGCCCCCTGTTGGCCAGAGAGCACCACTGCAACAGCTTCATGTTTTCTCTTTTTGGCTAAAGTCATGGATAATAGAAAAAGGTTGAAGCGAGTGCAGCACTGGGTCAAAAAAAAAGGAAAGTAGAGAAATGAGGCGCCCTTTAAGGTTAGGGGACCGAGGTCAGATGGCTAATAAATAAACTGTCCTCATTACAAACAAAGTTCATTGTGAGGTAACTTAAAGTCCGGGGCACATGTCCTGACGAAGACTCAGTTAAATCGAAACGCTTAGACTAGACACGTCCTGCTAATAAAGGATTTTTATACTGCATCAGACTGGCTCGGACTTTCAGTTAAGACCGCCATTACTACATAAGAACTTTGTTTGTAATTAGGACAGTCATTTATTTGGTTTCTTTCAATCTTTTTAAAAGTAGGTTGAAGTTGTTGGAGGACGATGCTTCAGGTTGTAGATGCTTTGACTGATGACTTTCTGCTCTGTGACTCCCCTTGATCCCTACCTGTTGACCAGCTGTGATGTCAGCCTTGTTTTTGTTAGACACGCCCTCCGCCTCCATGTTACCTGGCCAACAAACCAGCCCACCTATCGGCTGATACACACCAATGTGGAGGCATTTGATTGGTTGTCCCTACCTTTTTGATTTTTTTTTTTACCTTTCCTTCAATTGTGTACCTACCCTATTTAAATTATGTTTATAAATCTGTTTCTTGATGACCCTGATGAAGGCCACGAGCCGAAACGCGTCGGTCTAAATTGTTAATAAAGTTGATCTTCTTACTACAAGTGTTGCTGGAGCATTTTGACCTGCTCTGTGAATCAGGACATGTTGATCTGTGTTTGTGATTACTTCTTTTACCTCTAGATTCTTAATCTCAATGAGGTTTCTCCTGGTTAAATACATTTTGAATAAAATAAATAAAAACGCATTAGCCATTTGTCAATAGCCCCCACTTTCTGGTGACAAAAAAGCAGTTAACACTATTCAGAGCAACAATTTTCGATAGACATGTGAAGCACGTGAGTCCGGTACCACACAATAAAATACAACTACGGAAGCCCCAAGCGGACATGCTCCAAAAAATTTAAATTCCTCCATTTCCCTTTGATTACGATTGTTTTCCCCTCAGGATTGTCTTTTTCCTCTGAAAAACAAAGCTGGTTTTGAGACAGTAAAGCTTGCTATCTCCTGAAAACGGGAACTTTTTCTGGTGTCCTAGAAAATGTCCATTTTATGCTTTTAAACTCGAGAGATACAAGATGAATGTGTCTAGATCTTGAGCAAACAACTAGAAATAATTTGTAATGACAGGAAAAGGGAGTAAAGAACATTTAAAGATGTGTGTCCACTCCAGGCTTCTGAACATGGCCACTTCAAAATAAGATTTCTCTTTTATTCTCTTCTGCCCGAGAGGCTGAAATCAGTCACTGCAGCTTCGATAATACCTGTTTCCTGTTTCCTCTTTAGAAAGGCGTGGTGTTGGTCCACTGCAACGCCGGTGTTTCGCGGGCTCCTGCGGTGGTCATTGGCTGCCTGATGTCATGTGAGGGCCTGTCCTTTGACGCTGCTCTGTCATTGGTCAAATCAGCTCGTCCTGCCTCCTCGCCAAACCCAGGTTTCCTGGAACAGCTGAGGAAATACAAAACGCCGATGGTGAACGGATCCAAACACTGAAGGAGGGAAAAGGAAATGTTCAGAATGAATCGGCAGTTTAAGAACTTAGTGATTTTAATGAGACTACAAGATTTTAGTGTTAGAATATTTCAGATATTTTTTATAGTGTAGTGAAAGGTCTGGTTTTATGATGCTGAATAATCAAACCAGAGGATACATATAAATCAGATTTATTTCAAAATTTGCACAGTTCTTGCCTCTATGAATTGATCCTGACCCCAAAAAACATCAGAAATGTATCGATGAGTTTGTCTGAAGTCATTATTATTTCAGAAACAGTTTTCACACTCTTATAGATTTGTTTCTTTTTTCGATTTCCATTCTTGTAGTCTTGTGTGTTATTATTGACCATGTCCTCTTTGTGCCGTCTTTTTCAGTCGTTTATGTGTTTTGTCAAATAAAAGTTCTGCTTTTGAGGGAATTAATCCTCTGCATTTGACCTATCTTTTCTGTTTAAAGAGGACATATTATCTCGCTTTTCAAACAGTCCCCTGAGGTCTAAATGAAACATCTGTGCTGTGCTTTGGTCAAAATATAACATGAATCAAGCACCAGAGGAGGTTTGTGACCATGTATAAACCAGCTCTCAGAACGCTCCGTTTTGGTGTGTGTGTCTCTTTAAATACAGTGACCCCCCCCCCGAGTTTTCCCCGTAAACATCACTCCTCTGTAACGAGAATACAAATGGCAGACCTGTGCAAAAGTTTTGTTTTAGGCTGGGGGTGGAGTCCAGGAGTGGAGATATCAGGGAGGGGGATTTTTTTTTTTACCAGAATCCCACTGTGACATCACGAGGAGCACATTTGAAACGGAGCATTTTTCTCTGTGTTGTAAGACTTATGCAGACCACAAACAAAGGACTGGATGGATTTATTTTACATTTTGTGGGTCAGTAGACACTCAGGTTACCCAAATATATGTTCAAAAACACTGTAGAAGTGGATTTTTCAGGTTAGCCTTAAAAAATAACTGATAACCTGATTTCCAACTCTATCCACTGTCCTGTCTCTACAATAAAGGTACACAAATAAAATGCAAAATCATTAACTAAATCCTTAAAATATGGACTATAACCAAAGGCATAAAGAACATACAGATCCTCCTTTCCTGAACGAACAATCCCTGTTTGAAGTGTTAGAGACCTCTGCACACTCTGAGAGAGAGAGAGAGGGAGAGGGAGAGCGAGGGAGAGTGAAGGGGGAGAGAGAGAGGGGGGAGAGAGAGAGGACTCACACAGAGACAGACTGTCTGAGCAGCGTCTGGATGGCAGCATGACGAAGATGTCTCCCCAATATGTAAAGGAACAAAATTATACAGATTCATCCTTCAGCTTGGAGTCTGCCCCCTCCTCCTTCTCCTCCTCCTCCTCCTCCCCCTGCTGAGGATGGGCTCCTTCTGCTCGGCTCTGGACGGGAAGATGGCAGTGGTGACCACCACGCAATGTGGGGAGTCTCCTGTAAAGACTGTGACAGGTCAGGACCTTTTCTTTCACCACTGTTTATCTTTAAACTTTTAGACTGTAACAGCTTACTGTTTGAGCAGGATTTCATCATCAGTCACTTCCTTGTTATTCATTATTTGCCTATGGAATATTATATTTTACGAAAACCCTAAGTGGACATACATCTATTCATTTTGTTTATTCATTTTATTGGACTCGGCTTTCTCATAACAATGAGTACATTAAGTTGATTCAAGATCTCAAGATAACTTTGGAAAACCAGTGTTGTTATCCTGGGATAAGTCCAGATAATGGGAAAAATATATATCTAGCTCAACTATTTAATTTTAAACTTACTGCAGTTCCTCTAGTGTCCACTCGAGGCTGTCTCCTGCAGTGAGTCAATCCCCATAGAGCCCCATGTTAAAATGACCAACTTTACAGCTGAAATAAAGATGTTTACATCCTGGTATAGAAACAGTTTTGGTCTCCAGAGCTTTCTCTTCATGACAACTGAATTTTTATACAACCCACCTGTTTACATTATAGTAAGGCTTAAAGTGATGTAGAATTAGGGGGCGTGGCCTCTTTGAGTGACAGGTAGGAGCTGTCTGCTAGGTGTCACCTCAGCTAATTCAGTCTCTAACCTTTAACCTCTGGGGCGTGTTTGTGCTGTTGGAGCTTTTTAGAGATTCTTTCATGTAAATATCAGACTAATAATCGTTCTGGCTGTGTGACATAATGTTTCAAATAATCAGTCTGCACTTCACACCTAGCTTTGATATCTTAGCATGCAAGGGTCGCTTTAAAAGGTTGCTAAACTGGAAGGTGGTTGCAAACAAATCAGTGACAAACTGTGTTCAGGTCTTATCATTTATACTGTCTGTATTTTGCCTTTTGTGCTGAATGTTGCTTGTTTAAGCCGAGCTTAGAGTAAATGCATGTTTTATGTGTGTGCTATTCAGAGATTATTTATTTTTAAAGATGTAAAATTATTTTCTTTTTAAATTCAGCCGGATGACAGTCTCATAATAACAACGAGTCTCTCCACTCCGCTCGTGTTGTTCTACTTGTTGCCTCAAAAGCCTTTTGACAGACAAAGGCCTGAATACATTACTGAGACAAACACATACACACACACACACACACTTCTACAGCCGCCCACGTGTCATCTTTAATAGTCTGTTAAGTGTTGCTGCTGATTATGAAGAACCAATTAACAGTAAATTAGCCAGCTGACCAATCAGACAGTCCGCTGTTGCCATGAGGTTTTATTTACAACCACAAGAGCAGCTCTGTGGGACAATATGTGCACACACAGACTGTGACGCTACATACATTAACACACACTCTAGTTATTTACGGCCGGCCTCATCAACTCATCACACTTTTAGTCCGAAGAGACAAACATCTGGTGAGACAGGCGTGTTTGAAAGTGGAGTATTTATCCCTTTAAGGGTCAAATATTAAATGTGTATGTGTGTGTTTCTGGGAGGAATCCTTTTTTAAGGAGTGCCTCTGCTCTCAGAGGTAACAGGTGTGTCAGAGACTCATCATGTCAGGGATGGAGTTACATAGTTAATATGTTACGGAAAGAATCACTTTATTTCTCCTGAAATAAGTTTTATTTAAACTCTGGACCAAAGGTGGTAAATATGTAAGACCCATACAGACAGATTTTGTGGAGGTTGCCAGCCCAATGGATTCTTGTTGTACTTTCGCTCTCCTGTTTCTTTCTGACATGTTAAAGTAACAATATGTGGGAATTCTGTTTGGTGCACATTGGCGCCCCTACGAACAACATGCATTGGTTGACAAAAAGAGGGTGATGAAGAGGGGCTTTATGTTTATCAAGAAATGAATCCTATAAAATCTTAAATAAAGGATTTTTATTAAAGAGCAGCGGTTCTTAACTGGTGGGTCGGGACCCAGCGGTAACCTCTGGTATTGAAAAATTAAGTGCATGTGGAACTGCAAAATCCTGCAGTTTGTCAAATACACCTGACAGACAAAAAATAAATTTTTACAGCCTGGTACAAAAATACAAATAGGTCTGATTAGTTATTGTCATCATGGGCACACATTGTATTGTTTTTTTTAAAACAGCTCAGTTTTGACTTTGAGAACAATACATGTTATCCATAGTTAGGCTTGTAGCTGACATGATTGACAGGTGGGCATGATGTAAGGGTTCGCCAAGAGTCTTAAAACCCACCTCAGCTCCAGATCTCAGCCTATCGTTAGGTTGACTTAAAGTTAGGCTGAGACAGGATTTCCAACATGGCGGCTGCTGCCGATGAGTCTCCGGAGCCCCCTGCAGGAACAGATGGGTGACGTCACTCAGGCTTCAAACATTTATATTTATAATACTATGGTCGGGACCCAAAGGTGGGTGATGAATGTGTGTCTGGAGAAAAAGGATGTGAAAAATATTTTCAAACATGTTTGTATTGTTCCACCTCTTTGTTCTATTTGTCCCTAATGACGGTGTGAAAACTCCACTAATTGACCTTAAAATAAATCTGCGCGGTTGAAGAATTTCAGGAGTGTGAGATATTAGTTTAAATAAAAGAATCAGCCATATATTTCCGGAATCCATTTTAACAGCAATGACATTTAGATAATGAAGATGAAGGTTTCTACATGTCTCCTCTCTCGTGTTGACTTTAAGTTATATTTTTAAGGTCCATTGTTGCTTTTATCAGATGGGACAGCTGACGAGAGACGGGAAATGTCGGGAGGGGAGAGTAAGGGATGTCTTGCAGCAAAGGGTCTATATTCTATAGCCTCTGTACACGATGTGCACGACATAACTGCTAGGCAATACTGCCCTACAAAGGCAAAAGACCTGAACTCTCCAGAGTGTAGAGCTGAGAAAGTCTTTTTGTTGTCCAGCCAAATGAGTTGTAGGCAGAATATTGGAAATGTGGCAATTCATTGTTTTTATAATGAGGTTATTAATGTTCATAAAAATCTTTAGCTCAAACATGACCTTTGACCCTTATTTGGAAGTTAAGGTACTCTGCCTTTGCATTGCCTGTACAATAATACAGGCTCATGCCAAGGCATTAACTTCCATTTTATACTGTATTTCACTTGGTTGCATGGTTAAAATAACACAACACTATTTCTTTACTACACTTGGTCAAGCTACTGTGTGTGTCAGAAGTGCTTGATGACAGATATTAAAAAGGCATAACACCTTAACTCCACTGCAGTAAAACAGTAACTTCACTTTTATCCACAGCAAAACAAAGACAGAAGACCTTAACTCAGTTTGAGCGTTCAGGAATGCTGCAGTACAAAAGCAAAGAGCCTTATAAGTGAAGTTACTGGACTCTGCCTCGGTTTCTCGAGGGCTTTTGGAAGTTAAGGCAAATACAAACTACTATTTTCTCAAAAAAAACAACACAATTGACTCAAGATATGTCCTCAACATCTGTAATGTTCCAAAAACTCACTTAAAAAAAAAAAAAAAAAACCCAAAAGAAGAGGAAATTAACATGTCCTTTTGTCTCAATGCTCTGTAATGTAATCTTTTGTCCAAACGCAGAAAGGAAGAAACTACTACTTTTGGATGAAAATGATGTTTGAGTCAAAAAGGATTTTAATGGAACACAAAACCAGTTTCAGACGCAACTATGGTCAACATAAAGATAAAACTACTGTGGTTTGGCTGACAGATCACTCATTGAGATAAATATTTAAAGGCTTGAACTGAGCTCTACAACAGCATACCATGTTAAAACTTTAACTTTATTACAAAACATTTGCACAAAGCTCATTCAATGATTGGAACAGAGTTCAGAGATAAAATGGTCCTCAAAGTGAAGACGGGATAAACAGTTATCTGATAGACTGATGGATGACGCTGCTGGTGGGTTTGAGCATCCTCTCTTTGGCCTTCTTCTTCACGGGATCCACCTCGAAGCTCTT